ATATATATATATATTAAAATATACACACACACATACATACACACACACACACCTATGTATGTATAAAGTGTTTTTTCTTCTGTCAAAGCACCTGGTGTGCCCAAATATGGGAGGGAGCATAGTACTTCCCTTTCACCTTTCAGCCCCATTCCAGGAGCCTTCTAGGCAGTCACAGGACAAACCATTTTATGCTACATTTTTGCTGATAAAGAAATGAAGGGATACTTCATTTACACACACACACACACACAAAATCTGTGTAGTTTACATAACAGAATAATATGTTGCTTTGCTATGTCTGCATGTGCGCACTTACTCTACATGTTAATAATTAGGATGCATGCATATATTTTGCCTCTGTGTGTTCTGTGATAATCTAATCGGTGATGTGTATGTGTTGCCACTGAATGTTTCTAAGTACATGTACTTCTGCTTCCCTTTTTGCCTATTTTTGTACATTTGTTATGTCCATGTGCCTGGGAAGCATGAAATAGGCTTCATATCCTTTGAATTGTGTGACCAAGAGGGAGAGGGGCTTAGAATGGAGTGGTAATCAACGTCCTAAGAGACATCCCATACTATCTCTTGGATCCGTTGGGGGAATTTTCTCATAAAGTCTGCAGGCCTCATCTGACCAATTTCAAAGTCGATCTGTCTTTTGTTCCTTTTTCCACCAAATCACGTTGTTCTGTTCTGTCTTAGGGCAGCTTACTTTGCTGATTGACAGACAGATGGACAACAAGAATGTAAAGACACAATCCAGAGTCCCTTTCACATACTTTTCCCAACATTCCACTGGGTTGGAAATACTTAAAAAAAATACTACAGAAACAATTTGCATGCTCCACAATTTAGGGACTCTTCCATTTTATAGATAGTCCTTGCTTAACAATGATAATTTATGTTACTAAGCGATGTCATAAACCACAATGTTGCATGACCAGAACACTTAGCAACAACAATCTTTACAGTGAGGATCACAAGACATTAAGCAAGGACCTTCTTATAGCTTCGTGCCAGCTTTAAACAAGCAAAGTCAATGGGGAAGCTGACAGGAAGTCACAAGTTGTGGGGAGGGGGCTTGCAAGCAGGCTGGCAGCGGCTAAGTGCCTACTGTGACTTGAAGGCAAACAGGCAAGAAGTGGCTGCTGCCAGTCATGGAACAGCTACCATGTCATTGGGTAAGCATGTGCTAAAGAGTATAGCCTCATCGGGTTAAAGAGTGGTGGGAGTAAGAGCAACTTAACAGTATATAGTTGTAATCTTCCCTGCCAGTTTCCCCATTGACTTTGCTGTGTGAACGTGAGTGGTAATCACATAACAACAGGATGTTGCAACCATTGTAACTGTGAACTTGTTGTCTAGATCAGGATCAGTCACTGCTGGGATGGCTGAAACTTTGAGGACTGTTCATAAGTACCACTTCTTCAGTGCTGTTGTAACTTTGGAAGCTTGCTACATGAGTGGTTGTTAATCAAGAATTACTTGTATTTAATTTTTTCCAAGAGCGTTTTAAATATCCATTAATGTTTTTAAAAACCTTTTTCACCAATTATAATTGCAATTTATATGAAGATAGTGATAAGTCATTCCTTGCAGATAGTATGTAATTGAAGATCCTTTCTTTATAACTGATACAACTTTTATAATTAAAGGGATGACACTGGCTGGAGAAGAGGAGCAGCTGAGGAAGCCACTAGCTGGAGAGATTCTGGTCGTCGTGATGAATGGGACAGAGGTGGTCGTGACTCTAGAGATGACCGTGGTGGTCGTGATCTTCGAGGTCGTGTTGAAGAGAGAGAAAGGAGAGGACCCCCACCCAGAACAGATCGGGAAGAAGGTAGATTATTTTTACCCAATTCTGTTATTGTGATATAAATCCTATCAGAGAAACAGGGAATACATTTCCATTACAAAAAATGCAGGTGGCATACAGTGGAGCAAAAAAGTATTTAGTTAGCCACCAATTGTGCAAGTTCTCCCACTTAAAAAGATGAGAGAGGCCTGTAATTGACATCATAGGTAGACCTCAACTATGAGAGACAAAATGGGAAAACAAATCCAGACAATCACATTGTCTGATTTGGAAAGAATTTTTTTTAAAACAAAGGTAATAAAAACAAGTTTAAAAACAACAAAAATAACATAAAACAGCATAGCAGCTGATTTAACGCTACCAAGACCAAGAAATGGGCAAACAGAGCCCCAGGCTTAATGACAAAGCCAAATTTTTCGTGGCTTGCAAAAGGCCAGCAGGGCCAGGATAAATCTAATCTCTGAGGTAATGATCCAGAGAGCAGGTGTCATTACAGGAAATACTTTCTTCTGAGGCCCTGCCAGATGGCACTCTCTTATATGTGGGACCCAGAGCCTGCTTTTCCTGCTGGATCTCACAGTGCTGATAGATACCACTGGGGAGAGATGGTCCCAGAGATAGTCCAGCCCCAAGCCATGAAGTGCTTTAAAGGTAACTACCAGCAGCTTGAATTGCATCTGGAAGCAAATTGATAGCCAATGTAGCTTGTGGAGAAGACATACCACATGCACTGAGTGACTGGTACTTGCAACTATTCGGATCACCACATTTTGCATCAGATGATGTTTCCAAACACCTTTTGAGAGCAGCCGTGTTTGGGCATACTGCAATAATCCAAGCAGGGGATAACCATGGCATGAGAGACTGAAACAGAATATACCTCACCTTGAACCAACAAATAACCTTACCAGTGACTTCATGTAGCTGTTAAAATGGGAGAGGAGACATCACTGAACCCTGTGGCACTCCACATAATAAGGGCCTTGGGCTGAACATCTCCTTTCCTATCAAACACCAACTGGAACTGGTCTTGGAAGAAGGTGGGCAATCTGGACCCCCAAAGCCATTCTAGAACCCCCAGAGCCATTCTATCATTCTATGATCAGTGATATCAAAAACTTCTAAGAAGTCAATAAGAACGAGGATTGATGCGTGATCCCTATCCCATCCTCACCAGAGATCATCTTAAAGTGCAATCAGTGCTGTCTTGGTTATATACCTTGGCCTGAATCCTGACTGAAGAGTTCAGATGATCCTCTTCTTTCAGACATCTTTGAAGCTGCTACACAACGACCACCTTCTCTAGAAAGGAAAAATTGGAAACTGGATGAAAATTGATAAATATAGTGATGGCTTCTCAAGAAGGGGGTGAATCATTTACAATCACTTAAGAGATGGTGGAATTACCCCTTCTCAAAGAAGAATTAACCACTATCAAGGCCCAACCACATGTCACCTCTGGAGAGGCCTTGATCAACAAGGAGGGACATGGATCTAATAAAGATGTGGCTGAACTAACAGCTGACAGAACACTGGCATTTTTCTTAAGCCAATAAGATCAAACTCCCAAATAACCAAATCTTTCCCAAGTCATCTTTACAAGACTTGCTACAAACAGATATGCTATAAACACATATAGAATGAATCTGAACGATTTTATTTATCAGACACCATTGTTGGAAATATTGACACAAAGACAACACTTTATGCTTTTTAAGACTAAGCAGATATATTAAGAAATTACATTATCAGCAATAGCACTTAGACTTATATACCACTTCACAGTGCTTTACATCGCTCTTTGGACAGTTGAATGCCCAATAATCTGGATCCTCATTTTACTCACCTCGGAAGGGTTGGAAGCTGAGTCAACCTTGAGCCCATGAGGATCGAACCACTGGCAGTTAGCAGAATTAGCTGCAATACTGCATTCTAACAATTGTGCCACCATGGCTCTTTTATTATCCCTTTTCTTATGGAGTACAAAATCTAGTACTGGCTGTTTTGCAAAAATTGAATATTCCATATTGTATGAATGGCCAGGAAAATAAAACAGGAGTTTGCCAGTATAGTTCAACAGAAGGTAATATGGAAGAAGGGGAGACACCAGAGAAGCATTCTGAGGGATTTGGTGCCCACTTGTTGAAGTTAAAAAAATTATCTGTCCATGTGTGGATAACGTGATGCTCCGAACTGACTTTCTTACTGTTCAATGTATGTATTATTTTGTATGAAGAACTGGAAAAAACTCAAATACTCATATGACACAAAAATGGGACAGAATAATGAAAATGTTAGAAAACAAAAAAAATTCAAAATGATCTTGATGGGTTACTGAAATAATCTGAAATGACAAATATAGACATCTATCATAAATACTTAAAATGAATTCATGCACAGAATCTTTATGGTGAATTAAACCATATGAACATATGAGCTATAATGCCATGATTGTTTTCTTCAAGTTTGTACTTTTATAATGCCAGCTTTTGTAATATGTACAGCCCTAATTTTGAATTTACAGTGTATTCTGAAACATTGCTGGTAGTACAGTGTTTATAGTCTTAAATTGTAGAATGTATTAATTCAACATGATTACTTCTTATTCCTTAATTTTGTTCTGTGGTTATGCTTCATTACTTTTTCTTCCTGTAATAGAAACGTCACATTGAAAATTCCTCCAAGATATTTTTTAATTCTAATCAGATTAAAGTATTCTTCTGGATTTTGATTCATTACATAGCCCAGTGAATGAAGTAGAGTTGAAATATTGCCTTTTATTTTTCAGTGAGCTCATGGAGGCGCGGTGATGATAGAAAGGAAGAACGTGAAGAACGTGAACCAGTTCGAAAACCACCACCTCCTGCTGCTCCTCCTACTCCTGGTCCTTCTGTTTCCAAAGAACGAGAAAAAGAGGGTGAGAAAGAGAAAGCTTGGAGAACAGATAAAGAACGAGAAGCCCTTCGTCGCATTAAAAATGAAACCGATGAAGAGGGTTGGACCACTGTACGACGCTAAGTTCAAAACCTAAACGTGGTTTTAATTGGTGTTTTGCATTGATTTGATAAGAAATTATAATATTGGTGCTTTTAAGAGTCTGAATTCGAATTCGTTAACAAAATTTTCTAGAAACGAAAGCATGAAACTCTTTACTTGTATGCAAACTGATCATGCACAGAACTTACAACTAATAGTTGGAAATTAAATACTGGTTATCTAAAATTTCAATTGTATGTCACAGATCACTTGGTGGTAAGAATAAAAAAATAAATTCTATAGGTATCTTTGAGTGGCATGTACATCTCAGTCAAAAACAAAACTGATTTTTATGTTAACTAACCTTACACCTTAAAATGGATATAGCCTGCAAAGCATATGTTTAAAGCAATGTTTCTGGTTCCATAAACAAATGACTTTAAGGCTGTACAGTCTAAAATTGGTATTTGATGGCAGAGGCTATTATTGCTGGTAGTATTATTGGATTCAGTATGTTTTAATTTGATTTATATAGAATAAATGTCATGGGTCTTTTAGCTATGCTGGGAATTTTTCTTTTGTTTATTTTCAGTAGATTCTACTTGAATGCACAGTCTTATCAAGCCATTTTGCAGTCTTTACTTTCACAATGAGTGCCACAGTAGTATTGAAACAACAGGCTTTTAAAATTGGAAGTATTTGAGTAATCTTTTTGCTGAGCATTTTTGTTCCTTGCTGTGTATAGACACTGCTCTTTCTGGTATTGGTAATCTCTGCCTTTTGAAACATTTATATAGTGTCATTTCATATACATGATCTGTGGAGGAATCACACTCCTCCTCTCCTTCTGAATTTCTTGTCTTCAGGGGAAGTGCTTTACCTTTAAACCAAGTGCTTTGTAGTAAGAGTGGGTTGACTTCAATTTGGGGCTGAAATAGCAATGTTAGTGATTGTTTTTAATTGAAGCCAACACAGAACTTGCTGCTATGTGTTAACTTCAATGATAAATAAACTTAAAAATCTAACCTAGTATTTTGTTGTGACTTTTTAATTGATGTTTCAGATTTTCATAAATCTTTCCTCTAACATATTTGAGGAAATAGCCTGATGAAACTTAACCATATCTATTCTTTTTCCAGGGATCTTTTACCCAGTGAATAAGTATCTTTTTAAATAGTTGTCTGTTGGAAAGAAAGTGCTAATAAATTCAAATACAAATAAAAAATCAGTAAAAATGAATGGAAATAATTTTTCATATTCTCAATTTCCTTTTAATTAAAATAAATGTGGACTTCTTAGTTTGTCCTCTTGGTTTATATATCAAAGTATTATGGTTTAAGATAGGAATGCCACTTTGCATTGTTAAATATAAGTTTAGGGATGTTATGTAGTTATGATAGGCATCAAGAAAGTTTTTTTTCTATTTCCAGTGTTTCTCCTGCATTTGTAAAAAACAAAGGGTGAATGATTCAGTAATGAAAACTGTTCACTGAAAAATAAACATCATTCAACTCATATAATACCATTTGTCAGAAAAAAACAGTATATTAAATCTTAAATATACATTGCAAACCTACAATATAAAATTGGAAGGTCTCAACTGAATGCAGTCCTTTTTTCATACTTATTTTGAGGTTTATTTGTTCTGCACAAGTGATGGTAGCCTCCCCATTAAGGGAAAGTTAACTTCTTTACTTAGGAAATTACTCATCATGACAGGAACTGAATCAGAGATAAGATTTTAACTCTAAAATGTAAGCATACATATTTCTCCTTTGAACCTCTTACAATCTTCCAGTTTCTATGAAAACTAAATAAAACCAGGAAATACAAAACAAGTTTTGCCAATGAAATGTAAAACCTGATCTCAAAAAATCAATTAAGAAAAAATTTACAGTTCTTCTCTCTTAGCTGTTTTTAGTAGCATAGCATGATTTTTTTATAAGGTATCCACATTCTAAATGCTAAGAATCAAAGGGATGCTGTGCTATCTATTTTTTGTGAAACTGGTTTGATAACTGAACTTTAAAACACTGAAAAAAGGATAGTGATTTTTTTTTACAACTTTCATTCAAGACTATTATCAGGATTAATATCTGTCCAGTTTGCTAATAGCAATATATTTTATCCCAGGAGTTTGAGAAATTCACTTGGAATCATACTCCCAAGAATCAGGAAAAAAAATCTAATCAATTTAACAAAGATTTTTTTAAAATATGTATTGTTTCTGCTAGTATAGTCCCAGTGTGGAGTAGCTTAGGATGAGAAAGCCTAAAGACAGCCAGCATAGATCCTCAAGTGAGGATCACAAAGATCAGTCAAATGCTTGATTAGATATAACCTGGGAAAATGCTAACTTGTTAACTACCTTTGTTTTTTGAGCATATTTCACTTTTCTTGAAAATGCAGAAGCAATATGGATAAGCAATGGATTTTTAAGATAAACAGGTTTTTTGGACAAAAAGTGGTTTTGCACAAATATGGGGGAACTGCAGTAGTGGTATAACACAGCAGAGTGCAGTGAAAGGTAATTTTGGCTGAACATGACCCGATTGAGCTAAAAACCATTGAAACAGTACACTCAGTTGTTATATACAATCTTAAAACTTTTAATCTTACAGAAGCAAAAGTGTTGTGCTTTTTACTTTAAAGTTGACAGCAAGTACTGCTGGCAAATTTCATCTATCAGTCAAGCTACTCATAGAAAGATCCTAAGTTATCCTGAAACGGTATTCTGCTAGTGAGCTATATCATTATTATTTAGCAGAATTTGTGTGCTACTCATAAAATTCTGGATGTCTTAAGAGTTCCCCAACCTTTCCACCTTTGCAGACCAGGGGAGTGGGGAGGGAATGATTACTGTTAAGCTTGAATGTGCAGCCCAGTTGCAAACATCTTGCAGCCAACTAGTGGGCCAAGGTGTGTGTGTGAGTGTACAGAGAGGGGTGGTGGTGTCACAAAACATTAAAAAAGTGATTTGGTAATAGGCTCAATCATTTCAAAAATCTAATAACTAATTACTGAGATTAATCCTTTTTGAATAATCTTTATCATACTGTATACATTCAAGTACCTTTGAAAAATGTTCCTGCTCTTAAAAAACAATACTTATTTATGAAAGTAAAGTTAAAATATTTAGATTGCAGAAAGCAATCTCAGTACAGAAATAATTAGCCCAAGTGAACAACAAATATGTACAGCATTTGTTTAGTGATGATATTAAGTTACAGTGGCATTGAAAAAAGTGTCTTATGACCATTTCTCATATTTTCAATGTTGCTTCATGTGATCAAAATTTGGATGCGTGGCAACTGACATGTATTTATGATGGTTGCAGTATCCTAGGATCATGTGATTATCTTTTATGACCTTTTGACAACAAAGTCTTTGAGAAAGCCAGATCCCCTTAATCGTGTTACTAATTTAACTGCAATGGCTCATTTAACAACTGCCTTACTTAGCAACAGAAATTTATGGTCGTAAGTTGTGGAATAACACTAATGGAGTGAAAACCTTTATATAAATAAAAAAACGATTAGAGTGAAATATGAAACAACTGTAGTGCTCTAGTGACAAAAATGTATTTATTTTCCTAGTACTTGTTTCTTCCTTTTGAGCTGTAAAGCTTCCGTCTCACTCCATGGGTCCTTAATGTTTCTTATTTGTAACAAGATGATAAACTTCGTTGCTGATTATGAATTTCCCCAGGTGTGTAGAAATTAGATTATTCATAAGTATACATCCTTAACTGTTTGGATTAGGTAAACAATTTTAGCATGAGATGACTTTTTATTGTTCTGTTTGTTTTAACTACAAATATTAGATGAAAGCAAAACTATTTTTTCAGAAATAACTTTTGTAAACAAATTTTGAAATCAAGATTTTATCTGTCCTGGCAATTTTACGACCATTTTTAATAGTTTCTATTACATCCAAATTTATAATAGGACACTAAGAATGTGCTTTAAATTATTCAGAAAAGTTGATATACATGTTAATACATAGTATACATATAACATTTTTCTGAGGCTTATTTAGGAAATAAGGAAATATATTTATTGCCACATAACTTTACCTTCATATGTTTTTGATTGTGCATCTGGAAAATTCAACGTTTTGAAGTGGGCTTCGGATTGTTTAAAATAATTAAACTCTTTATTCAACCATATATTCCTTGTGTTACAAAATAGAGCTTCCATTCCACCTGCTCAGTAGATAAACAAAATAACATTGATGTTTCTTTCTAAATGAACTTATCTTTATTTTCAGTATTCTCATTAATTTCACTAAAAATTACTTTCAAGGAATTTTGCTTAGAATATACAGTAAGATGCTAAATCTTCATTCTGGGAAATAGTAATTTCAATTACTAAATTTATGTACAGATGTCAGTACTTTGTTCAAGAACAGAAGCATTGTCAGTTGCAACTTGATTAAAATTGCTTACTTTACAGGTAGAAATATGTTTTGTTAAATTACCTAAATTGGATACATCTAAATCAATTTTTCTAACTTTAATATATTGCATAAACCTAATAACATGTGCTGTAATAGCTGATTCCCTAGAATTATCTCTTAAAGTTAACTATTATAGAAGGCTTAAATTTTTGATTTATTTAAAACCAAATTTTTGAAGATTTTTAAGATAAGCCATCTTTCCCTAAACAGCCTCCAAGATTTTTTAACTATGTCCCCAAATTTGGCTGCAGTCTATCAATGTTTCCAACAAAAACAGTATGAAGATTAATTAATTTTTTTGTCAAATTCTTTCTGCCTGTACTTTGCCCTAAGACAATTTGATTAATTTATTTCATTTGTATAACTCAGGACTACAGATTCCCAATAATTTATTTTACTAATGCTATAACAACTTTAAGGGAATAATGCCTATTAAATACATACTAAATAGAATTTAAGAAGATTATGTAAAAACTTCTTTAGGACAATATGTTCCTAAACAAGTTTTCATTTCCAGCGTTGTAAATATTTACAAACTTTTTTCTTAAAAGTACTCCACGTCTTTCAGTATTTTACTATTGAAGGGCAAATATTCAGAGCAAGCCTGCAATGGGAATCCTACTGAGGAGCCACGGATGCCTTCATTGACAGACTGAAAATTCATTATAAAAACACTTAAAAACTTAAAATCATATGTGGGAAGTAACTAAGGCTGAAAAAATGTAAAACATACTTAAAACAAAGGCTACACCATCCATCTTCATTTTCCAAGGAAATATACACCCCTTCCATCCTTGAAGTTTGATTGTATGCCACCTAACATCCATCTCTGTAAATAATGCAGCTGAACACTAAAGATGCTCATTCACTTAAGATTCCTAGTTTTATAAACATGCAACTGTATTCACACAACTTGCCAAGCCATTATTAAATGAGCCAAATTGGCTGGATTTACACATGCAAAACTCAAATTATATTTAATCAGATTTTTCTGAGAGCCTATTCCCCTATCTGCTTTATTTTAAAGAAGCATTATTTTAATAAACTTCCCAATTGGGTGCTTTCATGTGTGGTCTAATTCCCAGGATTCTCAACATCTATTCGCACATCTAGGGGGACTGAAGTGTAATATTTTTGATTTCCTGCTTTAAAGTAATTGAAGATAATGAGAATTGTAGGATAGGTAGTATGGAAAAACTTGCTAAATACATCTAGCAGTTTGTACATAAGATAACAGAGTATTTTTCTTCAGGAGTGCTTTATCCTGTAAGAGTTAACTCTCTACTCTGAAATGGTTGGCAAGACTTCCAGAGGAAGAATGGAGGATTGAAAATGGCTCAGTGAAAAGCAGAGCCAACGAGTGTGAAGAATAAATAAAGGAGAGGTCTAGATTTCATCCAGAAGTGCTCTAGAGTCTAGAACAGTTGCTCCTTCAAGTGGTCTCTGGTGGGATTTGCGAACTGGGAGACAAAGGAATAGCTACAAATTATTGCTCAATTGTAGTAAATGCCTTTAAAAGGATATTAAGTTTGCAGTGTTTCCTAATCACATTTGGAATTTGCTTATTAACTA